GGACCCGAATGTATCGATTAACTATGTATGTGTAAAGGATCCTGAATCGAGGCTTCGTACTCTCAATTTCCCTATTTTGGCGAGATTTCGAGGAAGTTGCTATGGAAAGTTTCGAGGACATCTTGAGGCTTTTGTACCATTTACCCAAGGTTTCCCCAAAATTTTCTATAGCGGCTTTCCCAAAAACGAATAAAATTTTCCCAAAAATACGAATATTAGAGTCCATCTTTTAAGAAAACTATTACGGATATGGCGAGTTTGAGGAAGTTGCACACTTTGCAGCATGGAGATCTCCCTGGTGAATTTCACAGTGTCGACTTACCCTTATAAGATGAAGAAAATGGTTAGGCATTAAATGTAGTAAGGCTATCGTCTTCATTGCTCCATAGCCAGTCGGAAGGAAATCCTATAGAACACATGCATCATCAGATGAACATAGTGTGTATCGTCACAGCAGCAATCCACGTGGCCCTAAAGATTTCTAGGGACTAGAAGTCGGAGGGCGCTAACATGATGTCAAAAAGATTAAAAATGCAACCACCTTGAAAACATGTCCCTGATCAGTACCCAGTCTTCCGATTTACGGGAAATATTGGATTTTTTTGCGCCATTTTCTCAAAATTTTCCCCGAAATAGGGAGGTTGGGAACAGTAAATATTTACTAATTGATTGCATCACACATCTACATATGTTTATGCTGTTGTGAGAATAAATGATTGCCAATATTTTCAAACTTTTATCAAGCAACGAAAGCACTTCATCACCCCACAAATTCTGTCGAAAACGTTACACCAAATATGTAAGTTGCTTCGCTATGACAAGTTATTCGAGTGACTACTAGCTTGCCTTGCGGTGCTAAATAATACAAACTTAAAACATTATTCATATCTGTTATGTTTATTAATAAATGATTCATAAGATGAATAAATTTGGAAATGGCAAATATGGAACGCAGAGCCATTTTATACATTTATATTTGACACAATTCTCCATATGCAACAATTCATGAATCTGTTCATCAGTCAAGACTTGAATGCTATGGTTTTAGCTTTGTAAGTGGTTAACAGAAGCTAAGAGTTGCAGTTCTTTGAAAATACTAACAGCTCACTAGCTTGACCAATTTTATTATGAAAAATGACAAATCAATAACCAAAGAAGCGTTCAAAGTTCTTAATGTGCTTCAAAATTCGATAAAGATTCATAGAACAGCAGTTAACAGAATTTAGCTAAAAACTGTTTTCCGTTCTCCAATCGTCCCAAGGATATTACCTACGTGTATCTACTTGGTATTTTCCAACAAAATGTGGATATTTTCACAGTTAAATTCACGGGTTGATTTAATCTAGACCACCAATGAAAATCTGTAAGCTCTGGACAGCCCTTTCGTCCTAGTATGGGACTTTTCAGGAGTGTGCATCTACGATGCCGCATGCGTGGCTCGAGCCTAGGACTTTCGGCCTTGCGTGCGAACGTTTAACCTTTAGACAATTTAGCCGGTGTTGAACTGTATTAGTGCCTGCCTCCAACCTATCCACGATCTTGCGCAAATTGTGGGTACCAATACAAGTCACTTTAGCGTCTTTCCAAGGTCGTTCATGAATCGTATTCCCTCCGAGTAACCAGATTAAAGTTTTGTTGTAATGGGCAATTTCATTGTGAGGTAGAAACCTTTAAGGACATTAATTCTTCAACAGACATTTTGGTTTTATTATTTTCATATTACTTTAGTTCCGAACTATTATTTGAAACGTAACTTGTTGCTAGAGCAGTTTGCACTCATAAAGTAGAAAATATTATTTGTATTTCCAGTACTCAGTTTTTTCCATCATTCACCCCAATCACCCAATTTTGGGGAAATTCTTGGGAACTATAGGAAAATTCAGTTACACGCTGCATCGTGAAAAGCCGAAGATTAAATTGATAAATGTACCATATAATTTTATTTTTAGGGCTGTTAGACGAAAAATGAATTGTTATTTGTGCACCTCTGAAGAACTGGAAGTCGTTGAAATAGAAGCTGAATATGTTCCACTTCAGTTTCCGGTCATCAACATTTTGACTAGGAACATTTCACCCATAGCTAAGTAAGTATTCAATGCGTACGCGCTCATAAAGCAGTTCTTCCAAAATATAGATTTTCTCACATACGCTTACATCTGCAGCTGTTGCTTACTAGTACTTTACACTTAGACTAAATTCTATACCAATAGGTCACGCACTGATAACGGTACCGCAAAAAATTCTTAGGGCCATTGCCGATCATACCGATATTTCGTATATATTGTAGTGACCTACTTTTGTCAACAGAACGCGATTGGTTCAATGAAAACAATTATTATTATAACCAATTGTACCAGTGACTGTTTTACTGTGCTCGTTTGTTTAACTATGCTAATGACAGCCATTACACTTACTCTCCCGTTGACTTTGAACTTTTACGAATTCGGTTACGCTCAGTAACCACGCTTGTACTCCTTTGGCACGATCTCACAGTCCCTGGGCTTCTCCTCTTCATATAGTGCGCAAAAAGGATGGGGTTAGTTGGAGACCATGCGGCGACTACCGAGCATTAAACGTAGTTACGCGCTTTGATAGCTACCCTATCCCCCACATACACGACATCACGGCATCGCTCAAGGGCACGACTATCTTTTCTAAAATCGATCTGGTACAGGCATGTCACCAGATCCCAGTCGCTCTTGAAAATATCAAAAAAATGCTATCACGACTCCTTTCGGTCTGTTTGAGTTCCTACGAATGCCATTTGGATTACGGAATGCTGCTCAAACTTTCCAAAGGTTTATCGATAGCATAGTACGAGACTTGGATTTTGTTCACGTCTATATTGATGACCTGCTGATCGCATCATTAAACGTAGATGAACATTATCAACACCTTACGCTATTATTCCAACGCCTCTCGGATAGCGGAATAGTAGTCAACCCAGAGAAATGTGAATTGGGTAAACGAGAAATAATATTTCTGGATCACATCATCAAACAAGAGGGTATTCTACCTTGCGAGGACAAAGTTCGAGCAATCAAGGAGTACAACGTGCCGTCCTCAATCAAGGAACTGGAGGCTTTTCTCGGTTTGGTTAACTTCCAGCGACGTTTCATCCCTCACGCGGCAGAATGGTTACGACCATTAACCGATTTACCTCGCGGTAATCCACGCAAATTAGAATTGAACGATACCGCACGTACTGCATTCTCAGAGATCAAAACGGCTCTCGCTGAAGTTACACTCCTCGCTCATCCTGACCCATCAGCCACGCTTAGTATAGCGGTTGATGCATCAAATTTCGCTATAGGAGCCGTTATGCAACAGAATATCTCCGGTAGTTGGCAACCGCTTGAATTTTTCTCACGACGCCTTACTCCCACGGAGACGAGATATAGCGCTTTTGGTCGCGAAATGCTAGCAGCCTACTGTGCCATCAAACATTTCCAGCACGCAGTAGAAGGACGCCAATTCATTTTATTCACCGACCATAAGCCCTTAACGTATGCCCTGCATACCAAGTCTGACCGCTACTCACCACGAGAGTGCAGACATTTGGACTATATCTCACAGTTCACGACAGACCTTCGTCACTTTAAAGGCGAGTCGAACTATGTTGCCGATGCTCTTTCACGTATCCAGACGAATGCAGTTACCTTACCGTTGCTCGATCTTCCTGCTATGGCCACCGCGCAAGCAAACGATCCTGTCTGTACAGAAGCACCACAATCTTCGTTCCTTCAGTGCCAGAACGTATCCCTAACTACTAGCTCAGGTACTATCTTATGTGATACTTCTACCGGTCTTCCTCGACCCATTGTACCCTCTACCTATCGCCGTCTCGTCTTCGATGCCCTTCATGGATTGTCTCATCCAGGTATCGCAGCCACATTACGCCTCATCGCTGCACGATACGTCTGGCCGTCCATGAATAAAGATGTTCGTATGTGGGTAAAGCAATGCTTACAGTGTCAACGATCAAAAGTGCACAGGCATGTAGCTGTCCCTATTGGCACGTTCGCTACGCCTGATGCTCGCTTTGATCACGTTCATATAGACATTGTAGGACCATTGCCACCATCGCATGGGTATGATCACATACTCACGTGCATTGACCGTTTTACAAGATGGCCCGAAGCTATTCCCATCACGTCTATAACGGCGGAGACAGTTGCTCACCGCTTCGTAGAACGATGGATAGCATTGTACGGTTGTCCCTCGACTGTCACGACTGACCGAGGACAACAATTTGAGTCCGCATTATTCTCCTCACTGACCAGGCTGCTTGGTACGGAACGCATACGCACTACCGCCTACCATCCAGCATCGAATAGTTTAGTCAAACGGTTTCATCGCCAACTTCAAAGTGCTCTTTGAGCACACGAAAACGAAGATTGGTACGAAACCTTACCGCTCGTTCTCTTAGGTATCAGAACGAGTTTGAAGGCAGATATACAATGTTCCGCCGCTGAACTTGTATACGGCTCGACATTGCGTCTGGCTGGGGAATTCTTCACACCACAGAGCAGTAACGATTTCGGTAAATCAGACTACGTCCATCGACTGTCTGCATTTATGCGAACACTGTCTCCTGTGTCAACGCGAATACAACATCAACAGGTCGCTTTCCCTCGAGAGTTATCTACCTGTTCAGATGTTTTCACACGAGTAGATTCGGTACGCAAACCTTTGCAACAGCCTTACGAAGGCCCTTTTCACGTGATCTCTCGTCACGAAAAGACCTTCAAGGTTGATCGACAAGGCCGCGTCGAGATCGTCAGCATTGATCGTCTCAAACCAGCACACGTCGATGACAGTGCCCTACCTGATAACCTGAGACTCAATGCTAGACCTATCAAACCTTCTAGCGGGATCTCTACATCTACCTCGGATCCCATGCCAGAAACATCAGAGACCTCGTTCTCACGTCCCGGTCAACAGCACGTGTGATCTGCACCATCTACGGACGAGGGTTTCGTCTCACATCTAGATCAGCAGACCACGCTGCCCTTGACCTCGGATGAGATCGCAGGCTCACGAATTACGAACGAGACTACCGTCTCACGTTCCAGTCGCCGAGTACGATTACCCATACGCTTTCGCGACTAACCGCACAGTCAACATTGGATACGGTGTAGGACAATGCCTATACTACACGCATGCTACACTTTTCTTTTTTTTATTTTTTTGTATCTCGAGCCCACGCCTCCGACCATCGCCCGTTTGTTAACGTCGACTTCAGTCAACTTTGGGGAAAGCTGGCCTGATCACCCACGCTCTAGTCAACGCACTCAGTCGATTGTCTGGCCTCGAATTCGCCTGGCATACGCTTGGTCGTCATGGTCGCTTCCGTTTTCTTCGCTCAACGTGGTTTCGTCCTACGTCTGCAGCGTTTTCTGTTCCGCACCCCTACGAACGCAATCATCAGATCCTGGATACAAACCACTCTGGTGTGGTACGCTAATTCGACCAACAAATATAGCACACTTTTCCTGGTACCGTTCTTCGCAAAAGACTTTCGTTGACAACTCGAGGATCAACGATCACTTCCTGTTCCGCCAATTCTTCAGTCCTACAATCGCACTTCTGCCGATCATTTCCACGAATCAAACCGCTAACTATCAAAAGTGTAAACCATTTCTAGCGGGGGGCTCCTGTAGTGACCTACTTTTGTCAACAGAACGCGATTGATTCAATGAAAACAATTATTATTATAACCAATTGTACCAGTGACTGTTTTACTGTGCTCGTTTGTTTAACTATGCTAATGACAGCCATTACACTTACTCTCCCGTTGACTTTGAACTTTTACGAATTCGGTTACGCTCAGTAACCACGCTTGTACTCCTTTGGCACGATCTCGGTATTCTTTCGATACCACGAGATCGCCAACAAATACATCTCGACTACAGCCATTATCTACCTTCTGATATTGACCTACATGGATCTTATTGGTTAATTGGCACGTATTCTTCTTGTAGCGGTGTTCATAGTCAAGCTCAACTCGACACCACGCCACAACATTCACTCTATTTATCACGCTTAAACGAGACACTCATAATCTACCAATCATCTCATTGCGGTAAACTTAAATTATAATCTTCCGAGAGAACTCCATATAATATTGAAACGCCCAACAAAATCACGTCAGCACTTCCAATTCTTCAATACGCTCCTAAGATCTCAACAGACGTCTACAACCAAACAACAACGAAATTATGATTGCCTTCTACTTCACAACTCTATCCACTTCATTGAAAATAACTTATCAAAGATACTAAATCACACCTTTACAGCAAAGAACACCTATTTGAACGCGAAAAAACAGCATATTCTCAATCCAACGATCAATTTAAAAAAGAGCGACGTCAAATCCATGATAATTGGAGAAGTTATAATGCAAAAGTTAGAAGCTCAAGTCCTATAAATAATTAAACCAGAGATTTTGATATGAAATGTAAAAGATCTTTATTGTTTCACAACGAACAAATTTAAAGCCACATACAGGTTGATCAAACATTTTTTCACAATAACGTAGTTATGAAACAAAATCTCTTTCTAATGTTTTCAGCAACAAAATGTTTTGCTTGTCGCCGTTTTAACTGTGGAATTCCTAGCTGACTTGTGCTTGGTACTGAAGACCTCGAATAGATGACTTATAGGAAACAAAAAGATTACTGGTATGGATTTATTTAACTCCGAAAATAAGTTGAGTTGATATCTGAACACACGGACTTTTATGTTACATATTTGTTGTAAAATTAACATTCAAATTTGTAGAATGTGAACTCAGCAGTATTTAACATTAATTAATTAGATATGATTGAAGTAGACAATAAAAGTGTACTGATCTACTTTGAATAGCATAAAGTATGCTTGGTATTATATGATGAAACCAGCCGAGTAGCGGGGAAGTTTCTTTCCAGTTCCGACTTGGTTCTTTTATTGATTCCTTCTGATATCCTATCTCTCTTGAAATTGAGAAGGACGAAGATAGGTTTTTCATCAATCGTTGACGTCTTGTATCTTTAAGATATTACTTTCCGAATTTCACAATAAATATCTTCGAGCACCTATATTTACTAAGTTTCTTCTCTAAAGCAAATTTCTTATTTATTTTATCGTTTGAGTATAACATTCTAGCTCTATTAAAGTGCATTTTGACTAGATATCGTTCGCATATAGCTGTATAAAAGTTCACATAGCATTTTAGCGTGGAGTCGAGTCGCGATTGACTATGAACACCACTACAAGAAGAATACGTGCCAATTAACCAATAAGATCCATGTAGGTCAATATCAGAAGGTAGATAATGGCTGTAGTCGAGATGTATTTGTTGGCGATCTCGTGGTATCGAAAGAATACCGAGATCGTGCCAAAGGAGTACAAGCGTGGTTACTGAGCGTAACCGAATTCGTAAAAGTTCAAAGTCAACGGGAGAGTAAGTGTAATGGCTGTCATTAGCATAGTTAAACAAACGAGCACAGTAAAACAGTCACTGGTACAATTGGTTATAATAATAATTGTTTTCATTGAATCAATCGCGTTCTGTTGACAAAAGTAGGTCATTACGGTTTAACTACTGTCGCGTCCATGTTTCTGTATCATATATACCCTTTTCAATGGTACCATTGTTTGTTCGTCTTACAGCAAGGTATAAAACCCTAGATTGGTTACCTCGTTCACATCCCATTTCAAAAAATCATTTTTGGATGAGCATTAATGAAATGACAAAGTAAGCGAAAACTACGTCTCATGTAATTACAGATGGTAGACTTATCATCGAAATATATTATGTCCTTGATTTGAGTTTGTTATTTTAATCACATTAATAACTGAAATTTCCGACTTTACGGTTGACGAGAAGCCGTGGAACAGAATGAATTCATTTTTATTCTTTTTCTGTCGAAACACTTTTGTTCCAATATGCAGTATATGAGCTAGATTTTTATTTAGTTGATCCGGGGATCAACTCTTTTTCAATCCTAAAGTGAAAGAGCTATTTGCAGAAACCGTGTGTTTAGTCGGGTCATTATCGATTTCGTCCAATTTTACGATCTTAATATTTTATTCACACTACTTTATTAGTAGTAAATAGTTTGAGTCTATTTTTATAATTTATTTTGTCCGTACAATATGATTAGTATAAATCCGCTTCAATCATGTGCTAATCACAAATCTTGTCTACTTATTTTTATTTTTCTCACTCTTACTTTATTAACGTTTTCATTGCATGTGAATTTTTGTACTCTGTTTTCCGATTGCTTCGTATTAAAAGAGATTCATAATTTGTTACTTAAATTCCTGATAGTAATCCTCGAAACAACTGTGTGTTATTTCCCTACTCAAACTAGTTACTAAAACCTTAATCTTATTATTTTATCTGAAGCTCATAGTTCCCGTATAAGTTTCCTTTGATGATGTATTCAGCATCTGGACATTTAACTACTTGCATTTCATCACTTCAAGTCCGAAGATGAATCTGTGCCTTGAATGTATCCAGTTATGAGTAAAGAAAATTGCTTTCTATAAATAACAATATCTCTAGAGTTCTTACATTGGTAAGCAACGCATCCATTCGTCTCATGCACTTTTAGTTTTGGGTTATAGTTAAATACGTCTTGATACGAGTTAACAAGTTGACGGACTCATATGCATCCCAGATGACACTGTTTGTTCTAAAAAGGTATTCGGGAATGTGATGACTGATCTAAGTATTATAATACAAAAAATGAGTATTTATTGATAATGGACTGAAAAAGAACTTCAAAGGCTTGTAGTTCACAAACATCGTAGAGTCATAACAATTTAATTTTCCCTATTCCTTACGTTTTCAACTCCGATTGACAATCAAATACGTTCTTAGTGGTACACAAAGAAAGAAACAACGTAGAATCTTTTAGTTAGAAACTAATCTTTTTACTATACTCAGTGGCGAAGATCATAACAAGTGTAGTCTATAGACTTACTTGATACTGTATACTTTTAAATTCTCTTTTGTTTGATTTTCATTAGTACGTAAGACAAGATAATTAATTTCAAACAGTCGGATACCACCATACTTGTAACTGGAGGCTTTGATTATTAATGGGTTCTTGTTTAGTTGGTGATAGGATTCACGAACTAAGATAACTACATAAACACTGCTAATCTATTTGAAATCATTATAATCTCAAAGGTCAATGGTTAAGATGTATAAGAAATCATATCATTATGAACTTAATACAAAAAACGGATGTTGATTAAGATTTAAATTCCAGATAAACAAACGTACATTTTCAAACCCAATGGTAAATATTGAAACGTAAAAAATAAGTAACCTTTGCAATACTGAATAGTTTCAATTTTTAGACACACATAAAACTGACTAGTTCAATTCAAGTATACTAAGAATACCAACATCAAGTTTTGAAAACAGATTAAACTGTGTATTACAGGACAAAATCCGCCACCAAAATCTGTATAGATAAACATTAAAAAAGCAGTTATTAAACTGAGATATGAGCTGTTGAGTGGATCAAATAACTTTAAAAATAACCCACATTTAAAATCCTATGACAGATTAAAATGATTGTGTTTAGTGTTAAAGTCAAAGTTAATTTAGAATAAAAAATGTATAATAATATTATAGTGGACAAAAGTATAAGTGGGGACAATCAAATGTATTTGAATACAAAATTACAGAATCTTTTAGTAAAATCTGACAACCATTTAATAAATACTTCATTTACAAAATGTCAATCAACTGTCTAAGACTTGATTACTCCTTCATTCCTATAGTAATCACTTTCTGTTCTCGTTCTCTTCTCTTCGATTTTCGTAACTTTCTACCATCAGGCATTTCAAATTCGATTGACGACACATACTACTTATGTGGTGTGGGTTACTTATATCCACATAAGTAGTATATAACTGTGGTCAGGCATAGAATGTATTTCAGTAGAAGATCGAGAAGGAAAGAACGCAATCGGTATGAAAATACAAAGAATAATGAAATCTGAGACAATGGTCTGATGTTTACAAAAGGAACAGTCAAATTTGAGAAGATGGATTGATATTTTGCAAATCAACTATTTACTATATGGTTCTGAGATTTTATTGAGATATTCTGTAATTTCTTATTCAAATACATTCGATTGGTCCCCACTTGTATTCTTGTTCACTTTACTTATACCAATAGACATCAGTAGCACACACACGAAACCTCACAAGCAATCCTTATATGAAAAAAAGAACAACTAAATAGAATACAGAAATCACTATGAATAGCCAATGAAATTTCCTATTATAAGATTTAAAACAAACATTATTATTTTTGTAGTGTAAGCAATGATGGATAGTGGCTAGCAGAGGAATCCAGGTCACATGTTTTGTCCTGTTTGGGACTCGTCAGCTGGATGTACCTGCATCTCAGAGTTGATGTTCACTCTGGGACTCGAGCTCAATATCATTCGCTTCAAACGCCATCGCGTTATCCACTTAGCTATTGATTCCTGATAGGCACTTGCTTGTGCAATGGGGTGAATTTAAATTCACTTGGTATTGTTTGACTTGTATCTTCCCATTGAGGTTTAAGACTGCAATTGATCAGTCTGTCATTGGCATATATGCATACAGTACGTATTATTATATAATTATTTCATTGTAATTCAAAAAGTAAACTGATATTACAAAATGGTTCTAACCTCTATCCATAATAATATCATTTATATTTACAAGTGAAACGTTGTATTATTAAAATGAAACAACTATTCATTGTTTCATTGTTATCAAATGTCTATGTAATTTAATAGTAATCCAA